CACAGTGGATCGCATTTATTTAGGCTATTTAGAGCAGGTGTTCTCGATTCAAGCCAGCCCAAACCAGCAGATCATGACCTAGATCTTCAGGAAATCCTCACATGATATTACATGCTGCTTTGCTAAAGCTAAAGTACATCCGGGACTCTATCACGTCGCAATGTACTTTCGGGAAGTTCAACCAATAGGAATCTAGGTAGGGTAGATGACCAATCGGAGGCTGTTCTACAGCGGGAGCATGATTGGATTGGATTGATCGCTCTGATTGACAGCTCTTGCATTTACCTTTCGCCACTGGAAGATCATGGAAACACTTGCATTTTTACAACACTATAAGTGTGTCCCATCACGTAATGAAAAGTTCGACACACACTTGTGGTCTTCACACCCACTTGAAGACTTCAGCCAAATACAGGAAATACGTCATTTAAGTAATCAAGTGGTCAAGTGCAAAGACTGCAAGTGTGGGTATTTGGCCAAAGCCATTACATGCTGCTTTGCTAAAGCTAAAGTACATCCGGGACTCTATCACGTCGCGATGTACTTTCGGGAAGTTCAACCAATAGGAATCTAGGTAGGGTAGATGACCAATCGGAGGCTGTTCTACAGCGGGAGCACGACTGGATTGGATTGATCGCTCTGATTGACAGCTCTACCAGACATTAGTAAACCACAGTGGATCGCATTTATTTAGGCTATTTAGAGCAGGTGTTCTCGATTCAAGCCAGCCCAAACCAGCAGATCATGACCTAGATCTTCAGGAAATCCTCACATGATATTACATGCTGCTTTGCTAAAGCTAAAGTACATCCGGGACTCTATCACGTCGCAATGTACTTTCGGGAAGTTCAACCAATAGGAATCTAGGTAGGGTAGATGACCAATCGGAGGCTGTTCTACAGCGGGAGCATGATTGGATTGGATTGATCGCTCTGATTGACAGCTCTTGCATTTACCTTTCGCCACTGGAAGATCATGGCACATCTACCATGATCTTATTACTTATTACTCTTTTTTTTTTCTATGTCCTTATGCAGCCTCGTTGTTACAGATTGTGTGATTTGTTCACTGATCTATATATAGATCAGTGGGTTTGTTACATTTGTCTCTTTAAGGAACCAAACACGTGTCTGTTTTAATGAAGTGTCTCTTACGACTTTTATCCCAAACGGATAACGGTGTAAAGCACGGGCCGTTTAACCAGCTGGAATGTATTGACAGAGAGCCATTCATGCAGAGGAATTTAGAGCAACTTCACGCAGGGATCACATTCACTATGAATGAGGCCAGAGCTGTGACCGCTGTGAAAAACATCCTGCAAACTCTGACCACTGACATGCAGGAAAACGGTTCGGAAAACGCGAGAAAAAACACCGGCCAAGTTTATGAATGTAAGTGACTACATCTGCAACAGTAGCGAACGTTTGTCAATGAGAGCGACAGTAATAATGCAGCGGAATGACTCACTGCGGTAGTGCACAGATATACTGCCTACCATTTATATATTTAAATGCATTTCATTAAAACGATTAAAAAAATACATAATTTAAATGCTATTTTACTCTCTCTCTAAAGTAATATTAAATAAAAGGTAAGTATATAATCTCTAATCTATAAATAATTGAAAAGATAATTATATGTAAATTATTTATTTTTAAATAATTATATTATATATAATTATTTTAAATATATTTATGAACATATGTACATAAAATATTAGTCTACTATAAAATAAATCTGATTTGATTAGTTATTCATTAATTTAAGTTGAATTTAAATCATGTTTTTGTTTTTAAATGGTTTTAATTAAATCATTAAAACCATTAATTCATATTAATTTTAAACCATTAAAAACAAATCCATCATTTAGATATAATTCTTTATTCTAAAATAATTTAAATAATTAAAAATTAATTATTCGTTACTTTAAATTAAGTTATTTGTTTCATTATAAATTACTAATATCAATTATTTTAATATAAATTCACTATAAATTACTTATACTAATATTTAATTATTCATTTAATTATTAATGAATAAATTACATAAAGACTCACAATAGCAGTAGTGTTCTGTCAGCTTTTGACTAAATTAACTGATCAAACAAGAACGCTTGACAGCTGAATGTAGACAAATGTGTACGCAGCCCACATGCTGTTTCAGGTCAGACCTCCACAGGCTACCCCATGAGAAAATCCCCAAAATATCTGGCAGATTCTTCTTTAAGGCCTCATTAATGTGCTGTTAAGTGCAGCCAAAGAAGCTCCATGCGATTCAGCGTATTCAAATGCAAAGAATCTAAACTGAAATTAGGATAGTGAGGTCCAGATAGGCATTAGATGCGTGTCCTAAATGTGTGCCACCTCATACTGTGCACAGTCTGTTACCTCTTGTCAGTTCTGAACGTAGCCAACTTCTTACAGACTAGCAATTCTGTATGCTGCATTCACAAGCAGAAACGCCTTCGAATATACTGCACATTGTCTTTTTCATTTTTTTTCCCCTGCATCATTGCGGTTTTGGTTGTGTGCTAATATTGATCTTAAACTGTCAATCACTTGTGTGCATTGTTTGCTGTGGCTCTGTTGTTGTGATTTGGACCAGTGTGTTTGAGAAACTTGTCCCATCCAGTGCTGAATAAATTACATGCTTCACCCTTAAATTTTCCCACCCGTATTTTTGGAGACCTACCCAAACCGTAAATTCTGCCTACACCCCAGAGGTGAAGATATGTAACACATGCTGCAGTGAGGATCTTCCAGCCTCAGAAGGAATGACAGGTCATTGGCAATAACTTAAAACGAATTAGCTAGACATTCTTAACCTCTTCTGACCTCACAGTTATCCCACTCCACCCAATGCACTTTGTTGTGAGAGTGTTGAGAAGATACACATGAGCCGTGTCCTCCATGGGACCTAGCAGGAGACCCCATGGCCTGACTCTTAATAAGGGAGGGATGAGAGGAATTAATCAGCTCGAGGAATGGGCCTAAGGTTAAGCCCTGCAAATATGTGATAAATGATGGCTATGTAATGCATATTTCAATCTCTGTACAATAATAAGCAGAGATATGTTTTGATAGATAAACGAGGCCTGTGGAAAATGAGGTTCAAATAAACAGAGGAGTGAAATTTTCATCTCAGAAAGTTTGCTGTTGGAAAGTTCAGTGCTCAGGTTTCAGTCAGAGAAGAAACTGTTCTATCTATCTATCTATCTATCTATCTATCTATCTATCTATCTATCT